TATAGTATTGTTTGTCAAACATGCACTAAATATTTCATCACAGCTATTGGTAACATAAACATGTATGCTAATGCAGGTGGGTGAGAGAGGAGTACAAATGTCTGGGGGGCAAAAGCAGAGAATAGCAATTGCTAGAGCTGTAATTAAGGCGCCAAAAATTCTCTTGCTTGATGAGGCCACCAATGCATTGGACTCAGAATCAGAGCGAGTGGTCCAAGAAGCACTGGATATGGCAGCCGTGGGTCGAACAACCGTCATCATAGCCCACCACCTCTCAACTATCCGCAATGCTGACCTCATTGCAGTGGTGCAAAATGGTCAGGTCATGGAGATGGGCTCACATGATGAGCTTATTGAAGATGAACATGGCTTATACACGTCTTTTGTCCTCCTTCAACAGACTCAGAAAAGCGAAGAATATACAAGTGTTAATAGTACATTGGCGTCCATTGCTAACACTGATATCCACAACACTAGCAGTCGAAGACTGTCAATTATGAGTCGGTCCAGTTCAGCTAACTCCGCTGCACCAAGTCGAGGATTGGAAATGGCAACAGTTTCCAGTGATCAAGTCGTTGCAGTACCTTCATTTAGAAGACTACTAGTAATGAACTTGCCTGAATGGAGGCAAGCAATATTGGGGAGTATAGGTGCAATATTATTTGGTGCAGTTCAGCCAGTTTATGCATTTGCAATGGGTTCGATGATCTCTGTGTATTTTCTACAAGATCATAGTGTTATTAAGGAGAGAACAAAAATATACGCCTTATGTTTTGTTGGGTTGGCTATTTTCTCTTTCTTGATCAATATATACCAGCATTATAATTTTGCAGCCATGGGGGAGCACTTGACAAAGAGAATCAGAGAGAGGATGCTGTCAAAAATGCTTACTTTTGAAATTGGGTGGTTTGATCGGGATGAGAATGCAACTGGTGCTATTTGCTCGAGACTGGCCAAAGATGCCAATGTGGTATGTGACTAACTTAATATTGGTTTCTAATTAATCTATACTGGAAGTAGTTATAATGAATGAGATTTGGTTTATGTCCACTATTTGAACAATAGTATTCATCGTGCTAATGTGCCGAGGATGATCTACATCTCAAGTTAGTAAGCATACTTCTATTGGAATAAATTTTCCTTCTTTCTTAAGACAACCAAGGAAAGGTCCATCATTTTCAAGATACCGTACTTCTGTTAGAAGAAGTTTCAAACTTTTCCTCAATCGATGATACATATAGCTTAGGGGACATTTGAAATGCGTAAGTGAATGATTGTTACTAATTGTTGGCTTTAAATTCCACAGGTAAGGTCTTTGGTGGGTGATCGGATGGCACTACTCATCCAAACTTTCTCAGCTGTGACAATTGCTTGCACCATGGGT